GCGTCATAGGAATTGTCACATTACAGCAATTGAAAGTATACATTGGTGTTGCATTGTCCACTCTCATCCGTTTCACAGCAGGTCCTCCTTGGCAACTCTGGAGCTGATGCCGACGAAGATTATCACTACGAGTGAAAGATTTACCACAGTCACAGGAATACATTTTATATAATAGTTCTCACTAACTCACTTGTTGTAAACTGACACAACCAACACTCGTCCGCTTCTCAAATACAGCCTGATAGGGCCCGTCAAGACGTCATAGCCAACCCCACTTCTCAACTACATGCGCCAAGATTACCTCCCAACTGAATGCGATAACAGATGTCGATACGAACAGGCAGTGGTCGTTGTGCTCTCGTAGAGGTTAGACGTTAGGCAGACGGTCCTCGGCTGCCGTGGTGTCACCATCGATAGCGGGGCTAGAGCAATGCGTTACATCACAACCTTCATCGCTTCGGGAGAGGTGAGGGCAGACCGATGAATACGCATTACTCAGCCACTTTATCGTGGAGTCAACATCTTGCTCTCTTACCGTTGGACGGATGCTGCTGTGACGTCACACCACTTCTAACTTGCTGGGCTCACACCGATGGAACATTCATTACTTGAAGGATCTTCGAAGTATGCAGACGTATGTTTGTACATAGACAAGCACATGATGAAACCCTGTACCATGCATTCTCACACACACACACCAATCAAATGTAGTTACGTCACTATGTCACACACACACACACACACACACACACACACACACACACACACACAAAAATCTCATATGAAAAAAAAAATTCTGAACGATCCCTGCATCAGACCCTTCAAGGTCACATCGCCTTGATGTTACTAAACAACAACAAAAAAAAAGCAATTAATACGTCATAGTGGTGGGGGAGGCCCAGAACCGGCCGTAATCTGCTACTTAAACGTACTCCTTCTAGGAGTACGTTTCTGTACGTGGGGATCTCGTGAACGATAAGAGATAGAGGAAATACCAAAGATATACAGGAACAACCAAAAAATCCCAAATTATATTTTTGCCTATATCTTCTTTATTCGCAGACATATTGAAAATATGTCCACATTTTGCTATTGACACTTGATGTGGGCTCTCAGAATATATCCATGAATTTTTTATACAGGGTGTCATTTGACTTGGGCCACCCCCATCTTTGAATTTTTGAATACGGACCTGTATTTTTTGTTGTAGTTTTTGAATCGTAGTCGTTCACTTCATACTGGGAAATAAAATTCAAAATTATACTTGTGTGAATTATTCCCTTTTAAATTACGGCCCTGGAAATTGGTTGATTGAGTTGAATAAAAACACAATAGCAACTTTCACGTCTCCCTATGTACCGTAGAGTTTTCGAGAGCCAGTGTTTCAATATTGATACCTGGAACAAAATGTACATTAACGTTCATTATCACTATTTGAAAGTAGCACAATAAAATTGGAATAAAAATCAAATAGATAATATTTTTCTCGTAGGTTCCTCATGAACATTTACAACTTTTTATGACTTGGAGAGCAACTCGCATTCCCTTGTTGAAAAGTACCTATTCATTACGTTTTCAGTTTCTTGGCGCACCTGCCTGTACCAGGTACCACTCCATTTCCTTTTGGACATATTGATACTATCTTGAAAAAGAATGATAAAAATTATAAAAACAAAAGATATGTCATTCACTTACTTTTCTGTACTGAAGATACACAACTGAAATCACTCTAGTTTAAACATGTACTTAGTCAAACCAACAAATCCCACACACCAACTCTCCTCGGGCCTAAAATGAGGTATAGTAGGTTAAGCACCATGACTTTACTATCGATACTATTGCCTTTTACTTACTTTTCCTAAAGACTGAATATGCAACTCTACTGTTTGAAGATGCAAAAGCAAACTATTGGCTGTACTGCAAATTGGACAACCCCAAAGTATAAATGGTACACTAAACATGAGAGAATTAATTATACTTGATAATAACACCATGTCAACCGCCATGTTAAATCAAATGTCGATTCCAACGCAAAGCTGCTAAGCGTTGAGGGCCACAGCCGCTTTCACAGAGCTTCGACTGTCGCGCGCTACACTTCAATTGACCAATGACAAACGTTTACTCCGATATCTCACTTCCGCATTTCTCTGTTGCCAGGATTTGGCGCTTTGTAATTGAATAATTTCAAAACCAAAAAGGCAAATAGGATGAGAATAAACTGATTTATTGATGCAAATTAACCAATTGACCATTCATTTTTTTTGTCGTTTCAACAGTTGCAGTCGGAGCAATTCATCAGTATCTTCGCGTTGAGTTCAAAAACTGGTTAACACTATTAGGGTTATATACATTAGGTTATGCATTCGATTAGAATCTTCAAATATTTTTGTTTTTGATAATATTGAATTATTTGAATACGTTATCATAAGATAATTCAAAATTCCAGTAATACATCGTATGGAATATTCCAAAATATACCGTGGGGATATATTCTAAGAGCATACCATATTGTATATTCGATCGACAATATTCTTAGAATATTCACGGGAGAATAATCCGTTTATAGACATTCTATGCACATTCTTTCGGGAATAATCGTGCCATATTCATTCAAGCATATTCTATGAATATTTTAAAGGCATGTATATATTCCAAGAATATTCTATGAATATCTGGTGCTGTGTGGGTTCCTAAGAGTTAGGATAATCTTTAGGAAGATTTTTAAATATTCGGTAATTCTTAATAGGAGAAGGAAGCTTTTAGTGAGATAAGTTTAGATAAGGAAATCTAGCTTTCTTCAAAGAAGCCATAGATAGAGTATTTCATCAGCTATAGACTGAAATCAAAAACGCAGTTTCAAAGTGCGATATGTAGATTTTTTTCAAATTTCAGTTTCATAAAGTGTGAAAATACGAGAAAGATCACTTTTTCAAAGTCATTTTTTCGGATAACACGTCTGGGATATTCTCGTCGCGGGATAAGAGTTTTTACTCAGGGCGTTGAGATAATATCGTAGGAAAATAAAAGTTGAAATTTTCCGTGGTTTTGCTGGATATACACCAATTTCTCTTGTCGTCATTTCGAAAAATCGTCCACAGAGGGAGTGCAATGAAAATATGTTGAAATTAAATGCAGATAAACGCCGTTCGAATTCGTATACCAGTGCGTGCATGAAAAAATGTCACAGAGTGAACCCCAGATGCGACTTCGTTACTCATTGGAGTTGTGAGCAGATTCGTCAGGCCCAAGATCGGCCACGACAGTGCGACGAAGCTCTGACAAAATTGCGCCGAAAACGCAATGTTGCCAGCAAATAAATGGTGGGATGAATTCTAATAAACCCAACATAATGTTGTTTGGACCAAAAAACAATTTACCGTTTTCTCAAAATATCAAAATTACCTACTATTGATAAAGAGCGATTACCTCTTGTAGAACACACAAAAAAACCTGTAATTTTAGATTAGAAAAACACAGATAAACATGTTCAGGGATCTTTGTTGAAGGTGATTGACAATGTTTCATGATGAATTTTATTAGTTCGGACTTCCATTCTCTAATAGTATATAAAATGTTTTGAAATCCCTGAAAAAACTGAACTAAATGAAAAATTCAAAATAATACCTCAAAATATCAATTATATTAAGCAAAAAACCCTGAAATGAAATTACAGTGAAATAAAATACAAGTGAAAAACAGAAAAATTAAATGAAAAATACCAAGCCGAATTACTTCACGACGTTTCGGTCGGTCGGTAGCCAGGCGGTTCGACGTGGGTGCTTTGTTCACTCACTCGAATTGGCTGCCGTGTTGGTCGGTGGTTCAAGCACTAGTCTGAACGATTGATTTTCACTTGCTATCGTCCAACCCGTGTTAGGAATCACACGTTGAAAGGTAAGACCTCTTTAATCTCTTGCTCGCACAAGTTTCGACTTCTGAGGATTGCCTTTCGAAGGTGTGCGGAGTACTTTCACTCATCTCCTCTTTCCTATTTAGGCTTCACCGGTATAGCGGTCATCTCCCGCTAAACAGGTGAAGCGTAAAGAGAAAAGAGGAGATAAGTGAAAGTACTCGTGAAGTAACTTGACTTGAAATCTCCTAATTTTTTATTTTCTATTTTTTGTTTAATTGTTCAAGTTTTTACTTTCATTTTATTTCACTGTAATTTCATTTGAGGTTTTTTTTGCTTGATATCATTGTTATTTTCAGCTATTCTTTTCATTTTTTAATTTGTATTGGTTTTTTTGGGGATTTCAAATCATTTTATATAATATTAGACAATGGAATTCCGAACTATTGAAAATTGTATACATTAGGCCGTCATTTTAGATGACTATTATTGCTTTTATAAACAAAATATAACTGTACAAACCTTATCAGGTTGTTGGAATCGCCATATGACAGATAAAAAGAAGTATTTCTAGAAATATCGATATTAATGTGTTTGTCTTCAGGAAATTATTAAATTTTCCGCCATTTTGTATCGTCAGGAGCTTCAAAATGATGTGTAACAAGACGCCCCTTTCCATTTAACTTTTTTTTCCCACCCAGTCGCCATTTCGAAAGTTTCATCTGTCAATTTCACTTCAAAATGAAGTATTCATGCATCAATTTCATTATCCCAAATTTCAATTTTTTGAGTTGACTTGTTCAAAAAATAAAAGGGGGGGGGACATTAAAGAAATGCACTGCATACAGAGCTTCGAAGAAATACCTGTAAGCAAATACCAGTATTTTGCAATCAGCTGATATGCCAATGTTCCTCCAGCAGAACAAACTGGTTATTATAACAATGCCTTTAACACCCGTGGAATGTATATACGTTATGATAACTGGCTTACCACTGATTTATTGGAAAAAAAAAACATTCGATAAGAACCAGTATTCTAATCACCGTTAACCTGCTCAAAGAAGGCTCATTATTGGTAACTTGTTGATATNTTTTCACAATTCATATATAGAGCTTCAGAAAGAAAGAGGGGGAGAAACAGAAAAATTCATTGAAATTTTTTATGCTTTATTTTCAGAATTTAAGTAATTCAAAGAGAACGATAAGTTTTCTTCATTTCTTATCGCCATCTGGATTTCCTAACCAAGGGTATACTTTCGGACAAGCTACGCAAGAGTCCATATAACGAGTTTCACCATCCTTATCCAACGTACAACGAACTGGGTGACATGATGCACTATTACTGGGAGACTCTGTTTTGAATTCTGATAAAGTAACAGGATTCTTCATCCAATCTAAGACCTATAAATGAAATTTGAATGAATGTGTTAAACAATGACTTCAGAAACACGTAAACACTCTCCGTAGTCTGTCGAAATAATCGGTTTCAGATTCGATCCCAGTTAAGAATCAACTGATTTCTTATGAAATGTATAGTTACCCTTAGTAAGGGGCGAAAATGAAAGTTGAACAACGTATACAAATATCAACAACTCCAGATCAACTTCACCCTCTGAGAACTTCAACTGGCAAGGAAGCCGATGATTGATAGTGAGAACGTTTTTCAACGAACGATATTGACGATAGAGTACATTTAGACTTTTCAATAGTTCGAAGACTGATAAGTCTCAGTACAAAATTACAATAATAATCAATCCGTTTATTCATATTCTCGTAAAATGTATGAAATACTCATATTGTTAGGAATTTTGTTGAAAAATGTGTTCTCAATGTAACATCTCCTTACTATTTATTCATTTGCCAAGAAACATCATTATTTTCATAATTATACTATATGAAATGAATTAGCAGCGGTTCCGACTAAAGGTACCCGGCTTCGCACGGATAGCATTACAGTTATTACATGTTACAAGGTTGATATGTAGTAAATAACGGTTGAATATTATTTATAATCCGAGGCGCAGCCGAGGATGATTTCATAGCATCAATTGAAATTGCCACTTACTTGTTTTTGTGAAACCAAGAAAACGTCTTTCTTCTCCTGCAGTCTGTTGAGGAATTTCTCAAAACCGGCATAACTGTTTGCTATAAAGTCGAACCAATTGGAGTTGACTATTAGTGTCATAGGAAGTTTTGTATTATTTCGAATAATGTCTACTTCATTTGTTAACCAATCAGCAATTTGATCCGCAGTTCCTCTATAAATAAAAAGATGGAAATCAATTCAGTTTTATTCAGAAAACAGGTGATATTTCATGAATCGTTATATATGTACCGACAATTAAGAGGCTTTGATCCCAAGCTATAATATGCATATAAGTATACCATGTGGAACTCGTATAATAACAAACAAAAATAAAACTCATGGAGATATTATCAAAATTCTACGCAACTCTCATCAAATATCAAAAATATATGAAATGAAAATGCCTTTGGAAGCCTCGTTCCAGTGTTACTCCCTGTTTATGATCTCAGCTTGGGGCCACTTGATGTTATGTTGATTTGCTGATTTTCCCTCGCTGTGTGTGTTTCTTATGCTCGGCAATGCAAACTTTCAATGGCCTCTCAGTTTCAATGGCGGCTGCGGTGGTACCGGCAGAGGAGCCAGCAGCACGTGCCTATAAATAACGCGTCAAAGACCGCGCTTTGCCCTGTAGAACTTTATTATTAGCAGCGATCACACGAGTTCATATGTATATTCAGTATCAGTATTGCACCCGTGCGGAGCCGGGGCGGTTCGCTACTTCTATAATATGAGAAACGGTTGTATTTGTCAGCAAGTGAATGGTGAACATTCTGAACTTTTATTAGGATGAACTGGATTTAGTTAGAAAAAAAATCGAATCATGATAATACTTGTTTGGCAAATCTTTCATTCTTGTGAATGAAAATGAACCAATAATATCCCATTTCTGGGATATTCCATTTGATTTCAAAAAAACAAACCAGGTTCAGATGGACAATCAAAGAATAAATAGGCTATTATAGCTCACTGAATTAAAATACAACCCCTCACGATTACACGAAAAAAAAAATCATATTTATTCGTATTTATGTTTTCCATTAATTCAATAAGACGTTGAAAAGAATATTCAATTGCAATTTTTTTCAATTCAGCGGAATTATGTCAATATAAATTTTTAGTATGTCGCTACGGCATACGTGGCGACGTATGCCGTAGCGACAGGTCACTATGCGCAGGCGACTATACAATTATCATCCCACGCTATCTCTCTCGCCACACTGAGCTCAGATATATTTCATGTATACAGTTGGGTTGACTACAGTATACATAACCTGTGTTTTGTAAAACAAATAATTTTTATAAATAATTGAAAATGAAATATCTGGCAATGTCTGATAATTCAGAAAGTGAAAGTGAGCAGCCTCCTGCAAAGAAAGCAAAATCACACAACAGCACACCATCAAGTCATTCGTAAGTTAATTATTTTTTTTATTTTATAATTAAAGTATGCATTTATCTGTGCATTGAGCCCACGTATATTTTCTCTTTCTCCAAGTCCAGTAAATGTGAAATCCAATCTCTTGGTAGATTGAAATTCACAAAATTTTTATAGCATATAATATTTTTAAATGTACTAATAATTAATTTTGATTTCGTTCTTATGGTAAATAATGGTCTAAAATATTTATATAATTTCTGTAGTTATCAGTTCTTTTATGCTTACTACTTGTACAAAATAATTTCGATGTTTCACATCTGCCAGGCGTCCCGTATCGGCTCACAATTTTTTTATTTTTTCACTTGGTAAAATGGTTTCAAACTCTCCGTTACCTAACCAGTTTTTTGTTCTTTGTTGAATCTATACCGTAACAGATTTTCTATAACCCGTTTTCAATCGATTTTAAATTTAATAGCGGAATCATATGGAAAATATTGACGGATCATCCAATACTTACACTACATTACAATCTGACATAGTATTGCACCAGGTCTCATTTCCATTCAGATCATTTATGGGAAGAATCCAAAAATCAGGAAAAGCTTCGTTTGGACACTCATTTCCCAAATTGCATTCTTGAGTGCTCAAATAATCCAGAGTGTATGGAAATAATGGTTTAATAGGTGTTGTGGGCCATGAGCTGTCATATTGAAGTCCTGCAGCTTGATAAGCTTTTATGGAGATATTTCCCGCTAACTGCAGCTGAGGAGTTCTCACACCAATGATATTTTCTGTTGGAATGTTGGCAAACTTAGATATTATTTTTTTCTGACCGTCAAATTCTTGTGTCAAAATTTCTTCGGTCGCATTTCTCCAATATATCTGCGGAGAATCGCTGAAAGAGAAATTGAAAACTATGTTGAACTGGTAGAACTTATCTTACCAAAAATTTTTTTTTAATTCATTTGAATTGATAAATTTATTTCAGATCATAAACATATAATTGAATACTTGTGATGCACGGTTTGATGTTGGGATAAAACGCCAGTAATAAAAAATAATTAAATGTCATTCTCTAAATATCAATCTTTCTAGCATTAAACTCTCCAAAGTGAACTAGAAAAAGATAAAAAACACAATCATTAATAATTGATGAATTCTAATTAGTGCAAGGCATCAAACAATATGCGAGAAAATACTGAACAGAATTGTGACTTCATTATATACAACTTTTTTTTATAATTTTTTGATATGGAATACAACAGCAAGTATTCGACTGGTTTAATGTAAAGTGTCCAGATCAGCCAATTAACAGCTAGTAAACTCAAAATGTCGATAGTAAATGCTCTAGAAGCAAAAAAAATTACATTAGAACTGAATATTGAAATGTCGACTGTGGTATGTGATTCTGAGAAATTATTTTTCATTTATATTTCATTTTTTATAGTCGCATGTTTCTTTGAACAAATTATGTTTTTCAATTAAGCTGATTTTTGCTCTGGGAAATCCTGGTAATTTCGAGAAATAAACATATATCCCCCTCACCAATTATTCACTTTCAACCAAATGAAAGGAGCAGGTTCCGCAGTAAGCTTCTGATACAACTGTTTTCCTGAAAGATGGATTATTAGACAAGAAAAAAAGTTGGCTCCCAACTTATGCAGATCTCAAACCCCTGTTTTTTATAAGTAATGTATTCAAATCATTTTTATTGTCAATCTATAGAAATTGGAATAACTCCATAAATTATTCGATTTTCATTTCGCAAATGGCTTCCAACGAAGTGTTGAATGCCACAAAGATGATGAATTAAAATATTTCTTATTCACCCTGTACAAACACATCAATCAGGTGAATCGCCAGCAAATAAATAATGAAATACTATACAAATTATCGTTTTATTTTTCTAATGACAGTGTGGAGGCGAATATCTATCTATTAGTTAAATTTGAGGTAATTCCATATTTTAGCATGTTGTGGTATTTTGATACGTGAATATGGCTTCAACAGGTTATTTCCGAAGGTATGTAAGTATTCATTATAGAGCAAACTATACTCGTATATCGTGTCCAAAATAAGGAGGGCCAGCATGAAGAAATCGAAAAAAGGAAGAGATTCAAATTTTATTGAATAACAAATAATTTGCTCATTTGAATTACTTTTCGAAATTTTGGAAATTCCGAGATTATGTGTGATATATCAGTGTAGTTGTCGCCAAAAAAGTGCAACTGATATCAAGTGATTCTGCCGAATTTAAAATTGATGGTGTTAGCTCGGAGATGGCATGTCAGATTAAAATTCTGTGAACTTAGCTTATTTAGCTTGAAAAGTGACAATAAGAAAGGGTTTTTTGTTTTTCAATACCTGCCTGAATAACGCCACGAAAAATTAAAACGGAATTGACAAATTTCGGTGCTTTCGAATATATCCGGAATTATTTGAAATTTCAAAACATCATTCGACTACACGACTACGCTCCAAAATTGACAACTTTTTCGTAATTTATCGAACTTTATATCTCATATGGTTTCCGATTTTCTCATGCGGGCCTGTCTCATTTTTGACAGATAGTATAGATCAGAAGTACAATACTTTTGGTACTTACGTAATCGAGTGTACCGCTACTTCAAATCCGAGATTGAAAACATCATTTACCATCTTGTAGTTTGTGTATTCGTGAGGTACAAAGAATGTGGCACCGATTGGAACTCCATCTGGATTCGCACGATTGAAAAATAGTGGCTTCCAGAATTTTTTGACTATATCTTCAGTTAAAGCCTCGTTGAATGTCAAGCTGATCAACTGAAATTCAAGTTGATTAATAAAAATTAGTGATTGTACATATACAGTGCGTTTTTCAGCTGATCCTAATACAGCTATCTTGATAACGATAAGAACTAGAATACTAGAACTAGAATAATCTCTTTTCAGATCGCCAAAAAGTATAATCGTCGAATTTTATTATTTGGCTCTTCCGCCATCATTTAGAATAATACAAAAAAGGAAGAAAAACGTACAATCCTGTTCCATATTTGTTATAATCATATATAAACCAATATGCAATGCGACGTTTCGTTCACTAGATTTCATCGTCAACTATTTTAATGAATACAGATTCATCGATTTTTGTAGCCGCTGGAATAACAAATTCAGTTATGTATTTCAATAAACTTTTCCTGTCGTTTGTATATCTGAGGACTCAAAAATACTCCACACATCTTTCGAAAATTTGCAAGTAGTGGTGAACGCCCATGCATTCCAGGGGTTGTGTATAAATATGGAAGAACGGTTCAAAAGCCAATTTTCATGATACGTGTATTATAATACATGGCTGACTTTGATATCACAAAAATCGATGAAAATCTAAATATCCTTTTTAAAAAAAGTTCGTAATGAAGTCTAATGAACGAAACGTCGAATTGCAAATTGGTTTATATCAGATTATAACAAACATGAAACATTATTGAAAGTTCCCCTGCCATTTTCTATTTCAATTGAAATGGAGACGGTACAGCCAAAAAACAAAATTTGACAATTCTAGTCTGGCGAATATTTCAATAACAACCACTGATACTCAGAAATAACAAATCAGGGGTCTACAAGTAAATTGTGACTAAAAACTGATAAAGGAACGACTTCAAGAAGTTTCAAAACAAGAATCATCGAATATAAAAAACATTAAACTGAAGAAAACAAAATACACATATGATTGCCACCTTTTCGAAAACAACCACGATTTCGATATGGACTACGACACATTACATACAGGAAATAATGTACAAAAATTGAATCTACTAGCATTTCTGGAAATCAATAAATGCAAACATTAATTTTTTTACAAACGACCAATAAGGAGTTATTAGCCACCATTGTTGAACTTGTTTTTATAAAATGTCAATAATTAACAAATTTATAGTCTGCCTGTTTTTTCTAGGAGTGATATTGTATTGCTTTGTAGTTATTTTGCCAGAATTAATTATTTATTCAATTAGGTAGGTATTGGCATTGGATGCCAATAAATAACATATTTATGAATTACCTGTTTTCTATAAGTAATATCGTATATATTTTTTTTAAATCTACCTGATTTATCAAAATTATTCATTTATTTTATGGGTGATTTAAGCAAGTGTTGGTCCAACTGAGCCGTAATTGAAACTCATTTCAAGAAATATATTCGGTGTCTCAGAGCAAATAAGTCTAGTATCGCCTATTGTACCTTTGAGAACGGCCACAAAATAAATTACATTTTTGAAATTGTTTATTTATCAAAAATAACCCGTTTCAGAGCTGTTGAACTTTTATGTACTGTTTTCCTTGTTCATTCTCTACTTCGCACTATGAACAAATATTGTTTTCTACTTAAGAGTTTGTTACATTACATTCATAATATCGATATGACGATATGCGGTATGCAGACCTAAATAAAAAAAACTAAAATGAAAAACAACTATCTTTTTCTAGTTATTATTAGTTATCAAAACGATATTTTTTTCATTATTATTCATGAATTTTTAATACGAACTCACCTGTGGAATGTCTTCTAGATCTGAATCTGGTAAAGGATGTTCAGCAGAAGAGCAACGGCATTGGTCGGTACATTCATCATCAGAACATACGCTTGCTTTTTCTCCAACAGCAGACGGAACAGCTTCAAGGGCTACCAAAAATAAACTTAGCACTATCGCAAACTTCATGATGATCGCAGTCCGCATACAATTGCCTAGTAGACGAAAAACATACGGTTTTATATCAGTCAGATTACGTCAATATTTTCAAGTTGATTGAAAATAGGTTTATAATCTTAAGATTACCAGGAATACAGTAAAATATGAAGTGGATATTTGTGTCAATATGGATATAGATATCTTTAAAAATTCAAGTGATTCTGAGAAGTCTGTGAAATTTTAAGAATAAAGGATAATTTCCAGAACTCTGTGAAGACAACTAGATCATTTGATAGTTCGTACTGGAACCTCTGGCGGGAAATAAAACTATTGAAAACACTTTTACACGGTCTCTTGACGGGCGTTTCACTAACCATGTAACCTGTAATTGTTCCTATGCTAACTACCTGTTTTTCAATACCTCTAATTTGTTATGTATTTTCTTTATGTTAGTGACTAAACCTTACATTTTTCCTCTAATATTTATTTAGAATTATTACGCATAAGACTAAACAAAGGGCTGTTCGAAATAGGACCTTCACCGCTATTCATAGAACTCATTCATGCCACACTTTTCGATAACCAAGATTTCAAAGGCATCCAAAAACTGTCGTCATGTACCGGTCTCAACAATTTTAAACATTTCTCACTTATTCTGTGGTCGTTCTCTATATGGAATGTTGAGCGACACAATATTTCTCCGGTCTATGAAACCGAACAGGAGAAACATGTTCCTTGTAGCGAGATAATATAGTCCGTTTAGTGTGAAAAGAAACCAAACGGACTATATTAGCTCGCTACAAGGAACATATTTTGCATGTTTGGTTTCATAGACCAGAGAAATATTGTGTCGCTCAACATGCCATAGAGAACGACCACAGAATAATTGAAATATGTTTAAAATTGTTGAGACCGGTACATGGCAACATGTTTCTGGATGCCTTCGAAAGTTTTGAAATCAATATACAGGGTAACATTTAATTAGCTGATAATATTTTGGGCAAAGATACTTCCAAATAAATTTAGTTACAAAAAATTCCGTTTGCGACCATTACTTTCTTGGAAAAAGTTGTTCATACCGATGGATACTATAGGTAATTCTCCAAAATATGATCAGCTAATTAAATATTACCGTTATACATAGATATATAGATAAATACGTAATGTAGATTGATGGATATGTACAAATAGGTAAGTTAATGTCAGAAACAATTTTTCAGCAGCACTCAAAATTCTATTTACATTAACTTTTTCTCCAATTCTGGTTGAATATTCATAAGAATATAATCGAAGGTTTTAATACTCATTCTGGTATACTCAAAAATCTTTCAGGATATAATCTGTATTTCTTGAACTTCTCGTGGAATTCTCCATCTATACCCCGATTCTTATTCAAATTATGTAGTCCACAATCTCTTCCAAATATTGGGTTTTGAACCAAAAAACTATTACTTTCTAAGCAGTATCAAGATAATTTCGATACAGACATTTCGCTGTCGGACTACTAGTCGCGGCGGCGAACGTGACTGCCCGTGGCCTGCAAACGGTGCCGCGCGAATGCTGGTCGCCTCGCCCCTCGCTTCGACGTTCGCACCGCTGATCCCCGTGGCCAGGCCATTAACTGAGCTCTGCAGACGACTACATTACAAGAAACATGTTTCAAATTTCTGGTTTCGCATTTCTGACTAAATATGCTTTAGAAAACGTCCACAGAATGAATGAGAAATTGTTGAGACGGTACATGACAACAGGCTGTTAGGCGCCTGTGAGAGTTTAAAAATCGAAATGTGGAAAAAGATTTATGAATAGTGACAAAATTCCCATTTCAAACACATTTTTAACTTTCTCATGTAATATAACAAGCAGAAACCCAGTGTTGTTCTTAGTCAATAACAAATAAATTAGGATACAATTAGCCAATAACGAATAAATTACGATACAACAATCTCTTTGGCAATTAGGGTCATTAAATGAATAATAACATAATAATTATGAATAATAACGAGAACTTTCATTTTAAGATGGTTGACAATGTTTCATTGTGAATTTCATTAGTTCGGACTTCCATTGTCCAATATGATCTAAAATAAAGACAAAACACAAGCACTACAGGAAAATCCTGAGCGGTACCTGTGCGAAAGTAGCGATTCACATTATATTTGCATCGCTGAAGATCCAATGATCACTTACCCCACGGTGTGGGGAGTGGTCATTGGTTGATAATGCTGGCGCGCCCTCCCGAATATATCGGGGCTTCGGGGGATAGGGCCTGACCAGCGCACACTACAGTGAAAAAAAAATAATAATAAGAAAAGAGGAAGAAAAACGGATTAAATATCGAGATTTTCTCTTCGAACTCCACTGACTCTATACAGATCACTCTGTCAAGATGGTTGTTCTGATTATTGGAGTCCTTGGTGTAATGATGTCCTCTCTACTCTCGAATTTCAAAATCATACCGGCTTGCCGCACTGAGTCAGAAATCTTAGTCGCATAGATGCAGAAGGCTGTCATTCTTGGCTCACTGCGCTTGCTCAGGGCACATGATTCTCGGACCCAGTGATCACTTACCCCACGGTGTGGGGAGTGGTCATTGGTTAATAATGCTGGCGCGCCCTACCGAATGTATCGGGGCTTCGGGGGATAGGGCCTGACCAGCGCACACTACGGTGAAAAAATGAAAAAAAAATAATAATATACTTTATTGTCATTAAGAATAAATCTTGTGGATAAAGCTTGTGAGAAATACATACAAATGTAAGTATAGAAATATAAAATGGGAATATGAAAACACCTACAAAAAAGTAAAGTTAGAACATATACTATAGTTCAACATCGAAATTTTGTCTCAACATGGTTGTGTACAGACTTATTCAAAAATATTATCAACACTAATATAAACATGCATATACTAATATATAATATAACATAAATAAACACACAGATTGAACCCGATAAACAACCATTTATATCCAAACAAAAATATAAACAAAAATCTTATATAACCTGAATTCAAACATGCACATTTTGTCACGTAAATTTATCATTATAAAACTCTTGCAAATTATAATAGGGTCTATCAGCCAGAAATGTTTTTACGCTTATTCTAAACATTTGGTGGTCAAATTTGCCTGTCTTATATCTGAGGGCAAGTGATTAAACATCTTGACCCCAATGTAATAAATAGAATTTCCGACCAAATTTGTCAAAGGAATTGGCAATTTCAACGCGGTGGAACGGGTGGTATAAGAATGGCATGAAACCTCAAATAAGGACATATTTTTGAAAATGAGGCAAACCGTTTCCAAAATGGACAAAGCAATCACTGTTAAAATCTTTTGCTCAGCGAATTTGTGTCTGCATGAATCACGAGGTATAATTTTACACATATATCTGATAGCCCGTTTCTGCAGTACCAATACAGACAGAAGTTCTGATGAATTGCATACTCCCCAAAACGGTATTCCATAACGTAGGTGGGATTCAACGAGCGCGTAATACACCGTTCTGGCAGTTTTGATTCCCAAATTTATTGAAGTTACTCTCAGTGCATAACATCCAGAACAAATTTTACTTTTAAGTTGTTTAATATGCTCAATAATAATATGCAAATTAGCATCACACCACTCCTTGATTTTTTTCATATCAGTAGATATTGCATTGTGTAAATCATTTGAGTTTTTGTTGTTCCACAATATCGTCGTGTCATCAGCGAAAAGATGTAATTTCCAGAAATGCTCAAATTTGCAATGTCATTGACATAGAAGTAAGATGATCTCTGCGGCTTTTGTCTGAGCTTATCCAATAACTTGAACATAGTTCGATGTGGTTGTCGTTTTTCGGGATACAAGTTTAAATAC